TGAAGGCACATTGCACTACTGCTCGCTTTGTAGTTATTAGTACGAAGCGGGCGGAATCCGACTCGGGTTGTTGCCAAACCTTGGACCACCTGTCTCGGGGACCGTACTTCAATTTCGCATGCTAAATGGACAAAATAAAACGTTAGCGCTAACCAAGGACGACGCCGGGAGAGAGTACAACGAACTGCCAGACCCCTGTCTTGACCAAAGTTCCCAATTAACGGTGTTAGGTTAGTGGAAGTCAAGCCGACCGCCGGGAACGACTTATCTGCTTGATCTTTCCAGTTCATACGCGAGTTCGTCGTCAATATGACCAAAACTCGGCGGTTATAGATGAGCTCCACTCTGTACTGCGCCATCTGGATGCGGGACCGCGATGTGCGTGCGATAGGTGGCAGGCACGTCACTATGCCGTCTCGGCCCAAGATCCGGGCCTCAAATTGCCCTTCTCCTCCTTCTTCCCCTCCTCCTCCTACTCCTCCTCCTCCACCTCCTCCTCCTCCTCATTCGTCGCCACTTCGTGCAATTTTCTTCCCTTCTGCTGAGTCGATATGTGGCCTGCCGCCGGACTGTGATTTGGGACAGAGGGTCACACCACCGCAACGCCAGATTTTGTCTACTGCTTCAGGCCTCGGAGTTGTGTTAGTGCAGGAACAATCACAACTGGTCTGGAGACAGGGGCCCACCGTTCTAGCCTGAGTCCGGGTTGGAATACCTGCTGTCAGCCTTGACTTACGACTCTAGATAAGCATTTTCGCGGGCGATTGAGTATTGGCTATCATTCGTGAGTTTTAAGTTATTGCCAGCAAAGGCATTTATAATATTCAGAAGAAACAGTGGCGAGCAAACGTTGCTTTTGATAACTTCTCGTCATGCCAGTAGTGTTATATGGGACGCGGTACAGTGAGTGGAAAAGTTAGGTTTTTTATAATACAGGCTAGGCAAGAGCGGAAGGGCGCAGAAAGTTGTATATGGTTAGTCAACCTTTGACCATGGAAAGTGCGGAGCCTGAACGAGGTTCTTCTGGGCGCATAGGGTCGGTTTTCGTAACCTGATGGCGGCCGCTTATGTTGTTGCTAACAGGCGCCGACCCAGTAGCTTAGGGTAGGTCGAGGGGACCTTATAAATCACACGAAGTGATTCAGCGGGGTCCACACGATACCCCTGAATCCACTGCATGCGCAAGGATGGCGCTGTCTATTCTCCTAGTTTTACTTTTTGCCAACGATGCTGGAAGGTGCTCTCATATTCTTTTGGAAAGGCGCCGACTCGTACGGCCAATATAACCTACTCCACAGGAGCAAGTGAATGAGTTGATGCACATTGAGGCGGTCTGAGCTGGCAGCCTATCCTTGCCTTCTCCGCGTACAATAGGATTAGTAAAGAAGGATGTGCGAACCCTTGCTGCTGGGAAGGTTCCCGAGACAGCTTGGTAAAAGCGTCTTCTTAGGAGTTCACTTGCAGCGTTTCCTTGGAAAGGGACTTTGTGGAACAGCGTTTTCTTTTCGGCGGTTAGTGTGGTGGGTTTTGCGTGTCGCTCGGCAAGGTTTTTTGTAATGAACGTGTCAGGATACCCGTTTGCGCGAAGCAAGTCCAGCATTTTTCTAAGTTCCTCTTCGATACTATCTGTTGAACAAATTTTTCGAGCCCTTTGTGTCAAACAGCTGACTAGATTTATAATACTATTTCTGAGGGACGTAAGTAGGATGTAACTTGCTTTTCTACTATCCCATTCAGTGACGATATCATTTATCCTAGACGTCCCCGTCCTCCCCCTGGTAGTTCGAAATAGTTGTTATCCTTTGAAGCAGCTATCGCCCCTAGGAATGTGGACTCGAAGCAGTCACTTGTCTCCCTCTTTATCGAATACTATTCATGACAGAAAATGGGCTGTATTGTTAATTGTCAATTTTTTAACTCGAACAAGCTACCTGGTTTGCTGGAAGTATAAACTTACTCCTGCTGCTAGAGATCTTCTTGCTTAGGGTGTTTGAACACAGCTGTCAGACAGCATTTCAAGACGGGAACGAAGTTATCGAGCTTTGACGTGTCTCCGCGAGTCTTTAACTCCTGTCTGACATTTCTTCATGTCATGCCTTTCGTCGTCGCTCACTGCGTCCAGTTGGTTGATATGGCCTGAGCAGTCGACTAGTGCATGCGTGAGAGGAGAGTGGGACCACTACTGAGATAGAATCGGTCCTCAGGCGTGCCTAAAAGCCTCCGAACTGATGTGGTTTGCTGGTCCTTTTTAATACTGAGAGTCAGGCTGTGCTAGCTCCTTAGTCCGTATCACTGAGGCCCGAGCCCTGGGAATAAACTACGTCATGTGTGTGATGGGAACCAGATCGCGCGTGCGGAACGCGTAGACGGGCTTTCTGGCCCTTTCAACCATTGTGTTCACGACCACCTCTGGTCATTCTGACTTAACTTGGTCATCAAAAATCGATGGGTATGGACAGAGAGAGAACAAGGTAAAATTCTGATTTACTATCAGCAAATTTATGCACAAGTCACTGCAGGGCACACTTCTTGAGGCACGCTGTAGAACTAATAGTTCGCGACGGTTAAACTAGCATCATTTAACGGTAATCAGAAGACGAGGTGGCGAGCACACGTAGTTTTCGATAAATTCTCGTCGGTGGGAAGGGGATACAATTTAAAACACGTCAGTGGTAAGATAAATCGATTAAACGTCGTCTTAAAACACAGGCTGTGTGTGGGAATGTGGGGGGGGGGGGTAATAGCAGTCAGTGTCAAGGACGGAGTGAGAGCGGAAGGGCGCGGGAGAGTTGTAACGTTAGTCGATCTTCGACCACTGTAGGCGCGGAACCTGTACGTGGTTCTTCTGTGCGCACAAGATCGATTTTCGCAACCTGATGGCGGCCGCCTCTGCTGTTGCTAACAGGCGCTGTCCCAATGGTTTAGGATAGCCGGGAAGTGCTCCCGCATTCTCTTCGATAAGCGCCGACTCGTGCAACAAGTATAACCTGCTCCAAAGGAGCAAGTGCAGGAACAGATGCACAATAAAATGGTCCGGGTTGGCCACTTATCCTTACCTTCTCCGCGTAAAATATGGCTGGTAGAGAAGGATACTTGAACCCTTGCCGCTGGTCGCACGAGTCGACGCTTATCCAAAAGAATATGGGAGCACCTTCCAGCATGACTGGGAAAAGGCGAAACTAGGAGCATAAGCAGCGCCATTCTCGCGCATGTTGTCGATTCCGGACATCATGTAGACCCCAATGAAGAGTTTCGTGTGATCTATAAGGTCCCATCGAGCTATCCTAAACCACTGGGACAGCGCCTGTTAGCAACTGCATGGGCGGCCGCCATCAGGTTGCAAAAACCAATCTTGTGCGCACAGAAGAACCACGTTCAGGCACAGCGCCTACAGTGGTCGAAGGTCGACTAACGCTACAACTCTCCCGCGCCGTTCCGCTCTCACTCCGCCGCTGACACTGACAGCGATTACCCCCTCAACTCCCCTCCCCCACATTCTCACACCCAGCCTGTGTTTTAAGGCGAACTTAAATCGATTTATCTTCTCACTGACGTGTTTTTAATTCTCCCCCTTTCCTATATAATTGTACTGGCCAGATGAGAATTTATCTTAAGCTACGTATGCTCGCCACCTCGCAACTCATTTAACTGTTTTACATCTCTCAAACTTGTTGAAGAACAGGTTCCCTTAAGATGTTTCAAAGGCGAGATTTCGGCTGCAGTTAAGTCGGCCTTAACAGCAAACAGCAGGTCATAAATTACTGACTTAGCCTATCTGCATAACTTTTGAACTGTTACTAAACTCAGGAAGAAACCAAACCCCCGACAGTGGAACCGCTTACCCTCTCGTTTTATGACAAGGCGGACAAGGCGATTCATTCTGCATCATCGGATTCTTCCTGCCGATCCGAGCACTCCCTTGGAGACCTCACCGACAATGTGGACGGAGAAAGTGAGGGGTTTGGGGAGCAGTCGGTGAGGAAGTACAAATCTGGTGCCGCTGACTCTACTGCAGTCCGCGATGAGGTTGATGAGGATAATGCTGATGACGCTGGGCATGATGAGAATGAAGTGGGCACTGACGTTCGCAGCTGCGAGCTCTCAAACGAGAGTGACCTTGACCTTTCTACAGTGGACGAGGCGACTGAGGACGCGGAGCACTCCGGCCTCTCGAGGGCCTCCTTTGTTTCGCCTCAGAAATCTACACCAGCACCACCCACCTGCGTCCTCAAGGAGGCTTCTGCTGCAAACGACGGTGTGCAGACCAGACCCGCTGCTAGCGGACTTTCTGTGTCGCCGGCGGGGCCAGAACCGATGCGTTTCAGCTCTAGACATCGCCTGTATATGGCAGCATCGCCGGATTCTGCCACGACAGGTAAACTGCCTTTTCTATGAGCACTAGGTAAAACTCGTTGGTAGACAGGGCCCTCGAGAGCGGTCGTGACCGTAACGTTGTCTTTATTTTTGTTCAACCCACTGGCCCTGTCCCTCGTTTACTGTTGGTTGTCTTTCCCTTGTTTTTGGAAATAGCCCACCCGACTGCTGATTTTTAATACGGATGCGCTGTTAACCGGTTCTGCTGCAGTTAATATAACGTGGAGTACTTTGGCATAAATAGGTTTCCGTGCCCTCCAGCCTACCGTTTCTTTCTGAACGAAGGCGGTTTTAATAAAATATTTTCCGATAGTCGTCCAATGTGCTGGAGCCGCCTCTCAGGTCCCGCGGTACCCTTAACTGTGTGTAGTAGTTAGGTCTGTAGCAAGCACACGAGATGAAGAGGACGAGCGAATGTGGCTGTAAGAGTCAGAACGAGAATACCCTACAATAGGGCTTTATTCATCTTACAATTGACGTACTGGAACTAAAAAGAGAAATAGAAAAGTAGTAGGTAAGGTGGAATTTAGCCTGGGGGTTATGTTAGCATGACATTCACCCCGGCCAACAAATGGAAGAATCGAGATGTCAAAAATCGATAGGGAAAAGTTTGTATGGGGCAAAGTTCAGGCGTCTCTGTTACGAAGACAGTATGGGTGAACACGTTGTTGTTGTTGGGTTAATGTTTCAAGGTTATGCATACGGACATCGTCAGCGTTCGGAAAACTAACAGGTGTTGCATCATTCTGTCCGTCAGTTGAAACGGTGCTACTTTCTTGCTCGGTAATGGGTGGGTGGTCAGGGGAAAGTGGGGAGAGATTTTCTGGTACCGGCATGGCCGTCTCCTGGTGGCAATCACCGACGTCCTTTTCACCGCTGGGAGCAAGCTGTCGAACAGATACCGTTTCTTCTCTGCCATTACTGAATCGTATATGGGCATATTGGGGGTTACACTGGAGTAGTTCCACCTCCTCAACGAGCGGATCAAACTTAGACTGTTGATTGCTTTTCTTCAACAGAACTCTGCCAGGAGAGGTAAGCCACATGGGGAGAGTAGTGCCAGTAGTTGACCTCCTGTTGTAGACAAATATTCTCTCATGAGGTGTTGCATTAGTGGCGGTACACAAAAGTGATCTAATTGAGTGTAAAGCGTCAAGTAAGACGGATTCCCAGTGTGTGACGGGCAAATTTTGTGATTTCAGAGCAAGCAAGATGGTCCTCCATAAAGTTTGGTTCAGACGTTCAACCTGTCCATTTCCTTGGGGATTGTATGGAGTTGTTCTACTTGTCGCCACTCCCTTACTGTGAAGGAATTGCTGAACATCATCCGACATAAATGACGATCCCCGGTCGGTGTGTATGTACGAAGGAGTACCGAAAATGGAGAAGAGCTGACACAAACATTTAATGACAGTTCCGGCAGTCTGATCAGGACAGGCAAACGCAAAAGGGAAACGAGAATATTCATCAATAATCGTCAGCAGATAGCGGTTGTGAGTAGCCGACGGAAGAGGACCTTTGAAGTCGAGTGACAATCGTCCGAACGGCTGAGTGGCTTTGATGAGTTGGCCTTGTGTTTTAAAGAAACGGGGTTTGATTTCACAACAGGCCTGACATTTAGTGACGACATTACGAATCTCTTCCATCGAAAAGGGGAGATTCCGAGCTCGAACAAAGTGCGAAAGCCGAGAGACACCGGGATGGCAAAGTGACTCGTGTAGTTCTTTCAAATCCACACTGGTTAATAGGGCGCCACCGCAATTACGGGAAAGCATGTCCGCCGCTCGATTTTCTTTACCAGGTCGGTAGACAATGTCAAATTTGAATGGTGACAGTTCCAATCTCCAGCGTTCGATCTTATCATTCTTGACCTTCCCTTTTTGTGGATTGCCGAAGATGAAGGCAACAGAACGCTGATCCGTGATGAGTTTAAAATGATTACAGAGGAGGAAGTGCTTCCATTTGCGTATGGATTCCACTACGGCATATGCTTCTTTCTCTATAGCTGAATGATGTCGCTCATTTGGAGATAGGCTACGTGAAAAGAACGCTACTGGCCGGCCATTCTGATTCAGCGTGGCAGCGATAGCGACGTCTGAAGCATCGGTCTCGACAACTAATGGGGTATCGTACCGAACAGTGGCCACTGTGGCTTTCGCAAGTTCCTCCTTAAGAGCATCAAACGCTTCTATTACCTTCAATGGTAAAGGGAACGTTCTGTTATGGATGAGCAGATGAATTTTATCCGAAAAGTGAGATATCCATTGCGAGTAGTATGCGAACAGTCCCACAGCTCGTTGTTGAGACTTAAGATCTTGTGGAGGAGCCATTTCACGCAAAGGCCTTAGACGATCTGGGTCCGGTCTAATGTTGCCCTTGGACACCTCGTAACCAAGAATTTTAATTTCCTTAGTAGCGATAACACTTTTGGCTTCATTGAATGTTAGTCCGTACTTTTCAGCCACGCTAAGGAATTTTTGAAGGGTTGAATCATGCTCCGCGAGGCCGTTCCCACAAATAGTGATATTGTCCACGTAGACGAAAATATTCTTTAGACGTTCGCGTGCAATTATGTCGTCGATGGTCCGCTGGAAGCACGCAACTCCGTTGGTCACACCAAACGGGATACGACAAAAATGGTATAAACGTCCACAAGCTTCAAAGGCAGTGTACGGTCTTTCCTCTACTCGGATGGGTATTTGGTGGTAGGCGCTCTTGAGATCGAGAGTGCTATACGTGTCGTAATTTGCAATACGTTCAACCATTTCGTCTATTCTGGGGGAGGGATAGGCATCTAGAAGAGTGTATCTGTTGATCGTTTGGCTATAATCGACAACCATCCGCTTTTTGTAGTTTTCATTGGCTACGACCAAGACTTGGGCTCGCCAAGGGGATAATGAATGCTCAATTACACCCTCAGAAAGAAGGCGACGAATTTCTTCTCGTATAAACTTCTCATCCATATTGGTGTGTCTGCGAGATTTCGTAGCGATAGGTTTGCAATCTGGTGTCAGATTGGGAAACAAACGGGGAGGCTCGATGCAAGCGGCTGCAACAGAACAAGTCGAGAACGTAGATTTAGGTCCACCAAAAGGGATTTCAACACTTTTGTGAAGTCGGAGAAAGTCATGTCCAAGAAGAACATCGGCGCACAAGTTTGGCAAGACGGATAGCTTGACCTTCTCGTATATTGTATCATTATATCTAATAGTGACAAAAATATGTCCTTGTGTGGCGCTGGTTAAGGCTGTGGTAGCCATGGATATCTTTGTGCGAGAGTTATGAACCTTCCACTTATTTCGGAGCACCACTGAGGAAGAAATGTAACTTTCAGAACTGCCTGTGTCAATTAGGGCCTGAAAAGTAGTCCCATTTATTTGTAATTCAACCACTGCTCTTGAAAGACATTCGGGAACAGCAGCTGATGCCACGGTGGAAATGGTGGGATACATAGCGGAAGAGGAGGCTTGTCGGTTTCGTGATGTTAGGCACACCTTTTGAAAATGCCCTTTCTTACCGCACCCTTTGCATAACGCATCGCGTGCGGGACACATAGAACGGCGGTGGTTGTCGTATCCACAAAAGAAACATTTGCCATGGAATGAGGTAGAAGCCACTAGATCGGACTCTTTAATGGGACTCGACGAAGCTTCACGTGGCTTGGTAGCGGCAGAGAATGAGGTCGTCGGGGGGTTCTGATACGATAGAGACTGTCTTTCTGCCAATTCCAGTGACCTTGCCAGATCAAAGGCAGTTTGGAAGTTCAAAGTCTTCTGTTCCAATAACCTCTGCCGAATCTGGTTTGATGAAAGGCCACTGATAAACGCATCTCTAATGGCATCGTCGCGATTTTGTTCTGCCGTAACGGCTTTGAAATCACAGTCCTTAGCTAAGGATTTCAGCTTCTGAGCAAACTGGTCAAGGGTTTGTCCGCCTTCCTGTCTGTAGGTTGCCAGAAGATGGCGGGCGAAAATTTCGTTTTTGGGTCGTAGGTAGAGGCCTTGCAGCAATTTAACAGCTTCTTTATAACTGGAGCATTCACTAATGTATTCCCAGATTGTCGGAGAAACGTAGTTAGTCAGGACGTTTAATTTATCCGGTTTCAGGTTATCGATCGTGGACAAGAAATTCTCAAAAGTGCGAAACCAATGACTCCACTGTTTAGAAGCGTCTTGAGCATTTGGATCGGCATCGAATCGTTCTGGCTTAAGGAATCGATCCATTTTGAAATTGTAAGATGAATAAATTGTAGTAGTTAGGTCTGTAGCAAGCACACGAGATGAAGAGGACGAGCGAATGTGGCTGTAAGAGTCAGAACGAGAATACCCTACAATAGGGCTTTATTCATCTTACAATTGACGTACTGGAACTAAAAAGAGAAATAGAAAAGTAGTAGGTAAGGTGGAATTTAGCCTGGGGGTTATGTTAGCATGACACTGTGCCAGTGAAAGCGTTTCTGTAAAACTGCGTTTAAAAGTCGTCATTTGGTGTGTCGCGTGGTTCTTGCTTTTCCTTAGGGAAATGAGATAGTAGTGTTTAGTATCTGACTGCCAGTAAAATCTGAGTAAATAGCTCTTACCCGTATCATCAGAGTGTTGGGGTGCAGGTTCCTGCTAGCCTACAGTTGTTCTGTTTCGTCGCCTGTCTCATGTTATAGGCATACCTGAGGCACGAACCCTGACCTGCCTTCTGGCTGGGGATTGGCTTTGACCTCTCCGTGGGTGACTGCTAGCGCATTCGTGGGACCTCTGTCCCCTGCCCGGCCGTCGCTGCCGCTGCAAGGTCTTTGTGCGCGTGGGCCCTCCCTTCATAATTGGATGGGCTGATCAGCTGCCGTTGCATGTGCGAAGCACGCTCGACTTTTTGGGCGCGTCGGTGGGTTGATGTCTCGCGTTGGTCGTGTGACCTCCGGTCGGCTCCTTCCCGCTACTGTGAAGGTGACAACTGTTGGAGGAGCCGCGACTCGCTCGCCAGTGCTGTCGGCCCAGTCTGGTCTGACTGTAGCCGTGTACGTAGCGCCTGGTAGGCCGGATGGAGACTAATAGGCCTGTTGATTTTGCCAACCGAGAACCAACTTTCGAGCACCAGTCTGGCCATCATGTCGCTGGCTCGGCTGATGACGCTTGCCTGCCAAAAGGCGAAACTGTGTTCCTCCTGTATATACCAGTATACCGTATACCAGTAACAGTATGTTATTACCGACAAAGACAAGGGAGATTAAAATGGCCATTTCTGGCCTATTAGCCGTCGTCAGCCAGTCATACCCAACCCCGAAGTGTGGAACACCCGAGGCCCGAACTCGCGACCTTTTAGTTAGAAGTCCACGCCTCCAACCACTGGGCCACGAGCCCGTTGCCCTGTCGGTTTCGATCGGCAATATACAATGGTGCAGGGACGCTAACCGATCGTTCTTACGGAACTCGCTCCGTTGTGCCTTACGGCCTCTTTCTCGAGCCCAACCAGCAGCCGCACAGCGGCGCATAATATAGTCTCTGTCGGTAATAACATACTGCCTATATCATGCGCCGCTGTGCGGCTGCTGGTTGGCCTCGAGAGAGAGCCCGTAAGGCACAACGGAACGAGTTAGTTCCGTAAGAAAGATCAGTGAGTACCCCTGCACCATTGTATATTCCCGATCGAAACCGACGGGACAACGGGCTCGTGGCCCAGTGGTTAGAGGCGTGGACTTCTAACAAACAGGTCGCGAGTTCGAGCCTCGGGTGTCCCACACTTCGGGGCTGGGTATGACTGGCTGACGACGGCCAATAAGACACAAATGGCCATTCCAGTCTCACTTGTCTTTGTCAGTAATAACATACTGTCTATGCCATGCGCAGCCGTGCGGTAGAGGGACGCTCACTGATCGTTCTTTCGGAACTCACTCGTTCCGTTGTGCCTTACGGGTTCCCTTTCTAGCCCAACCAGCAGCCGCACAGCGGCGCAAGATGTAGTTAGAATGTTGTTCCCGACAAATACAAGGGAGACTGGGATGGCCATTTATGGCCTATTTGTCGTCGTCAGTCAGTCAAACTCCGCTGGTGCGCGTCCATTTGTCATAATTAATATTCCTGATCATTACCGATAGGACAAAGGGCCCTTGGCTCAATGGTAAAGTGTCAAACTCCATGACCAAGATCCCGGGTTCGAGTCCCAAGTGATCTACACTTGGGTTTGGATATGACTGGCTGATGACGGCTATTAGACCACAAACGGCCATTCCGGTCTCCCTCGGTTTTGTGGATACTATTTCATTTATTTGTATTACTATCCTCTGTGCGACTGCCTGCGTGGGTTCAAATATGAACCCCAGGGCATAACCGAATGACCACGTTTCGTAACCCCACCGGTGAGTGCCCATCTTTCATTGTATATATGCCAAGAAAGCATGTGACCCTCACTGTTGTGGTTAGCATCTTGCTGGACGCCACTTTTTCTGACGAAAACAAATCTTGCGACATAGGACACATATAATACGTAGGCACCTATCTGCGTCTGGCCTGTTGTACTTTTATTAACAGTGGCCAGTCGAAGATAGCCAGTAAGACAGAAATGACCATCCCAAGGGCTCTTATATTTATCGCTACTCTTTTCGCCGTCATTACTGATCGCTAAGTGATTACTTACGAGGGCTTTAGTCTGAGCCCTCCGACGTAACAGGACCGGCATAAAGCGCAGCCTGATCAATGTACTGTTCTATTCAGTCGTTTACCTTCTCGAAAAACACAGCTCTACGAGTTGAAATTCACCCACTGTATGCTTTCGTGAACGTACTCCCTACAGGATTTGCAACCTTAGCCGCATACCTTGTGTTTTCCACTTTTAAGGACATCCCGCAGAATCCTCCAGTGTCATCGCAGAAGGAAGGCGTCTCTCCAAGCTTCTTACTGGTCCTCTGTCACCATCGCGGAAGACGCCCAGGACGACAGAGCCCCGCACTCCGCCCGCTGGCAAAGCTGACGATACGGACTCGCCTGTCGGTCTGGGGATCTCAACCGCAAGAACAACGAACGCCGAAGGTGACAACGCTCCTGTGTTGGCTGCCACACAGGGCCCACCTCCTATCATTATCACCGCTGCGCCACCGACGAGCAGAACTAAGTCGAGGCCTCTGACTTCCCGCAAAAAGGCGGCTTCCGGGGACGGGGTGCCCAAAAGTCATCCCGCACTCATCTCCTCCCTGTTTCCCAATGTGCCCCCCTGCGTTCGATTCTTTGATGAACATGAGAAAGGTAAGCGCAGGCTGTGCCACTGCTCGCAACTCGCCCTCTGTAGCCATACGAACCACTATTTTGCGACAATTTACAGATACTACCGTTTAGTCAATGAGTAGGCAGCGTTTTATGTAAACTGTTACTGCCCTGCTGGTAAGCTTAAGGGTCTTACACAAGTTATTAGTCAACAGTAGCACCAGCACCATGATCGTTGTCGTTATCTCCTGAGAAACCTTCCCGAGGTCCTACGAATTTTTCGCTACAAAGATCTATGAAGCGACACCTTTATGTACGAGCGACCACTGCAACAGTAGAATACCAGTCAGACAATGAAGAAGTAATATCCGTGATTGGGCTGGGCTCACGCCGTCCAACTCACTGTGGCCTCAGTGCGTGCTGATAATATGCGTACTTGGCTGGGAACTGGGCCGTGCCACCTGGCTGCGTGAGCGGAGCGCCCTGGAATGCGTCTGTTTACTGGGTTGATGTCAGACATCCAAGCCTCCCGTAAATCCGCCCTCCCTTATTGCCAACTCGTGCCCATTACCTGCGTTTTCCTGAAACTGATTTCCCTGCCTTTCTTGAGGACGTAATAAGCCACTTGGGACAGCGAATTTCCTTTTTGAATGCCCCATTTGTGTCCCAGTATTCTCGGGCTAAGTCATCCAACTCTCTGGCCTGCATAATGGTAGGGGCAGTCACAGCATCGAATTTGATAAACTACACTTCATTCCTCACCTACATCCATTCGTCCCTTTATCTATATGATCCTGGTTCGCATAGTAGCTGCTAGATAATGGGTCTCTGAAACGTCCTTCATATACAGCAGAGGGTGTCAGAGTGTTTTTCTCTTCCGTTAGTTCTTAACCGGCGCGTATGGTGGCAATAGCTGATGAAGTTGTTTGAGTAGCCGTTTCTGCTTAATTAGTCGCAAAGATGCTGTAGTTTTTTTACTCGTTCCACGGATTCGTCTAGAGTGTTTTACCCTTTGGAAGGGCGCCCTAACGCAGTCGTGTTTATGCACCATTGGGCGTTCGCTCTTGTAGCTGAGGAACTGCGTTGAATTAATCGCCTTTCCATATGCTATAGTTTTACGTTCACGATCTGGTCCGCACGTGACCGGAACATCAAGGAAGAACAAACGTACGACCTTCTCTTGCAAACTGAATGTCGATGAAGATGCCGTAAAGCAGATCCTGAAAGCTTAATAGCCCGTCCCTCTTAATTATAACACGTGTCGTCCACATGGTGACGACGCTTACAAAGTTTGCTGTCAATGCTATCTTCAGAGGCGTTAACACCTAAAGGCAGCTAGGCCTGCATAAATATGCACCCGTTTTTACTCAACACCATCCACACGGGAAAATGGGCAGCTCTTACGTGCACTGCAAGTTGTCGTATTTGGTGCGGTGATTGCTCAATCACAGGCGTCGGATTCGTTATTGTAAGTGTTGGTTAATGGGGGATAAAGTTGGGACAGGTTGACTTAATGTCACTTGAATTTCGCAGTGGGTTCCGTAGCGAAGGCTTGCATTTGCGCAAAGCGAATGGTTATTCAACAGACCTCCTCCGATTACAGGCCAAGGTACGGTCTTTTGATGATGTCCTTGGGTTTTTGAGTCGAAGAGAGCGGCTATATCTCATAAATAAATTAACTGCTTCATTTCGCACCGAAAAGCATACTTCCAGGGCAAGTAAAAATGCATTTTCTAGTGACTTTTAGAGCGTTGCCAAACAATCTACTGTGTTTGGTTTGTGATTATAAACTATACAGTGTAATGCGAAAAACGTTTAGTGAACAGTGAAGTTAGGAAACAGTTTCGATTTAATCTGACACGCATTTCCGTGCTAAATCGTTTAGCAGCTTTGGCTTTTAGCAGATAAATCGTCTTTTCGGGTCATTCTGCTGCGTCAGAATGTAAATCACGTAGAATTGAAGGTAATTTTAGTAAATTCGCCAGAAATGTACTATAACATTCAGGGGTTAAATATTCCGGCGAGCTGATTGAATTTGTGAGTCCATGTTTTGGGCATCCTAGCATGCATACACATTTCATTTTAGTGGACATGTCATATTGGAGGAACGTTTCTGGCTACAGCTGTGGAAACGATAAAGTTTAGGGTTGGGTTAAAGATTAGGACAATGGGAGGTCTTAGATTTGGAGTTAATGTTAGATTAGAGATAGGTCTGTCCGCCGCATACCGATAACCTCGGATTGTCTGTTTTCCACTCGCTTACGCGGCCCTAATTCGCATCTATCCAATTACGTAGCCTGCTCCGACACCTCACCGGCGTAGCTAAAAAATTGTGGCGGAAATGCGACCCATCGATTCCTTCCGCAAATGCAGCCAATTCCTGCGTACGGCTGCACTTTTGACAATAATAATTCAGCATTCCGTTTTTCAGGAGTCCCTGAACTCTTTCGGAGTAGTTAGTTTAAATATTCAATCCTTGCCTTTCTTGGCATGTTCCCATCATTAATTAGTTTCTAAAGCGGTCTCGGAGTTCTGAGAATATGTGAAGAAGAAGAAGAGTCGAGCACCAGAACACTTTGTTTATTGTCCTGAGCTTTCAGACTCGTACAGGAGTCCATCGTCAGAGGTAGCAGCAGAAGCAGCCAAACAAGCGACAGTTATAAGGCATGTAGGCCAATCATCGGCCGACGGCACAAGGCTCGAGGTGACCACGCAGGGCTCTGTACGCCGGTGCCAGATCGATAAATCGATTGACCGAATTCTCATCCGAGGCCCAGGCTTCAATCAATTCTCGGCCTGTTTTGTTTCCGGCGTGGGCGACTAATTTGGTGGCTACGAAGTTAAACTCGTGACCCATTTCGTAGGTGTGGGCAGCCACTTCTGATAGTGCGTCGCCTCGTCGTACAGCCAGCTTATGTTGGTGTATTCGCGATCCGAGCACGCGTCCAGTCTGCCCTGTGTGGTTACAAGGACAATTTTGACACGGAATGCGATACACTACTCCAGATTGCTCTTCAGGCTTTAACCGGTCTTTGATTTTCATGACCCTAGTGCGCATGGTGGCTTTGGGGCGGTGTGCAATTCCAACACCTAGCTCCGCAGCAATGCGCTCCGTCGCTTCTGAAACGTACTTGATGTATGGCAGAGAACGCTATATTATCGGTGGTGTTGATGTTCGAGTTCTCTGATGGCGACCGCATAGGCAGCGACTTATGAATGCCCTCGGATAGTCATTTTGCAGAAACTGGTCGCAGAGATAACGGGCCGCACGTGATCTGTCCTCCGGTTTGCTGCAATGACTTTGGATCCGTTTGAAGAGCGTCCTCATACAGCTTCGTTTGTGAGCCACCGGATGATTGCTGTGAAAACTGAGAAGCTGTGGTGTTCGTTGCCTTCCTATAAACCGTCATTTCAAGTTCACCGTTAAGGTTTCGTCTGACAAGCACATCCAGGAAGGGCAACTATTGTACCTGTTCTTCTTCCCTCGTGAATTTTATTTCGGGGATTTATCGATCTGGCGCCGGCGTACAGAGCCCTTCGTTGTCACCTCCAGTCTTGCGCCGTCGGTCAATGATTGGCCTACATGCCTTAAAACTGTCGCTTGTTTTGTTGCTGCTACCACCTCTGACGATGGACTCCTGTACGAGTCTGAAAGCTCAGGACAATAAACAAAGTGTTCCGGTGCTCGGATCTTCTTCTTCACTTATGCATACACCTGGAACTGGAAATTCCGCCTTCATTCTGAGAATATTTTCGTCTTTCTTAGTACGACGATGAGGGTAAACATAAAGCTGCAATTGGAAGCTACCAATATTTTGCCGCCGTAGTCGACGGTAGCCCTTACCTCAAGAACTACACAGCAAAGTGGGCGAAGTTATTCTTGGAGGTGTTCCAGTCGTTAGTACCACGAGTCACCTCGTTAGTCTCTACTGACTGAACCAGACTGTGTACATACAAGACCAGCTCGACCATCTCAAGCGTCGATGTCCGCCGCGAGACCTACGGGCTAGGCACAACATCTGTGATTTACAGCGTTTATCGTTCTCTCCCTCTCTTACCTCACCCATATTGCTACGATGGCCAGACGCATCGGCTGACAGGGCTAAGCGCTCGTCTACGCGCGCCACGCATGCGGCTTGGTCCTCGCACCAAATGGACCTTTAACCAACGCGGCTGGCTCACATCACACTAGTGGCTGCCCACTTCACTACACAAGCCACTCCAGGCGATGTTTTCGGCTGGTGGCGCCTAGGCTTCGACTACTTTTTACGCTTTCTATTTCTTCCTTCTGAAGCGCCCTCAATGTCAACATGCAGAAGCCCAAAATTATGCCTCGGTTCAGTTTTTCTCCCTTGTATCCACCCGCAAATGAACTTACATATAGCTTCCTCTCTTTCCGCTACAGTTGAATCATTGCCGTGGGAATTCCGACGTCTTCTTCACTACCGGCCGAGTATAATGACTCCAATAATCGTTCGACAGGTGCTCTCAAGGTCCGCCTTCCGAGCCTCCAAACGTATGTTTGCAGTGGGTAGTGAGTCTCCCTTTAGATTATCCGCTACGGGGAGGGTGGGTGCCGTTGACACCTGTCGTCCCTCATTCGCACGCACCCTCCCCGGCGCCAGCTTCCTCATTTAGCAAAGCAAACTATCTACACCATGTTAGAATTCATCCCATTGAATGATTTTTCCTACTAGTCCATTGGTTCCTTTTCATGTCTGCGTAGACATTTTGAAGATGGCTTCTATCCTTTGAATCTTTACGAATCTTACCAGCAAACTTGAACATGAGTGAATAAATTCCCGATCTGCAAAGATAGATAATGGCGGGTGGCGAGGCCCTGATGAACTCTGGTTCGATGAAGTGCTTATGACCCATCCGGTAGACCCCAGTGGTGGACCAGCTGCGCCAGGTGCGTCTGTGCGCATGTTTGTTTTTCTGATCCCAGCTGCTGTTGTTCAGGGTTATGATTGGCCGAATGAGGGCAAACAAGCCCGAAACAGTGCTGTATCAATCTATCCCCCCCCCCCTACTCTGTCGTCTCCCCTCTGCTATCATAGCTTAGCCGACTTCGGCCTGGTAGGTGGTTGCCTGTTCGTGACCCCTATCGCCCATACGAAGCTTGTTTGCTTCGGGAAGCCAATGGATCGGTGTGCGTCCATTCCTGAGTGAATAAATACCTGACCTGCAGCGACAGAGAATGGCAGGTGACGAGGCACTGATGAACTCCGGTTCGATGGATTGCTTATGTAGCCCATCTGGTAGAGACCCCGGGGGTGGACCGCCTTTAAATGATTTCTCTAGTGGCTGACATGTCTCACTTGACCTCATTCCCATATAAATGCACTGAACTGACGAGAATTTATCGAAAGCAATCGCACGTTCGCCAACTAGTTTTCTGAAAGCCAGTGCACAATATTTTAAGGTGCTATTGTTTTTTGCAAAAAAAGTTTATTTTTTAAAATACTGGCTTCGAATTAAACCAACGCGTGTATGCGCTTTTGGGATACCCTATATTTGTTTTCATCGAAATAATTTCTTTTGTAGGCATGACCAGTAGGTGATTGTGGCGTACAAATAGAGCGATGAAAGTGTAACCCCACTGTTAGTGCTTTCAGTTTGTATAGCATCGTCGACGGTAGGATGAAGGATCCCTGCTTAGTTGTCGGCAGATTCTGGATCGTGTCATACGGGGATGTCAGTGGAGGTTCTACGGGTTAGGCAGCACGCCAGACAGTAAGCTGACGAAATGCAAGAAATCACCGAAACTGTTTGGATTTCTGCCGAAAGTCTAATTGTGCGCTTTTGCATTACAACGGAAACAGCGGGTTTAAAATATATAAAAAAAACAAACAAAAAGCAACTTATAAAAATAACCGTGTTTATGTAATGGCTCGAGGTCGTGGGAAGTAATCATTATTGGCAATGTAACGTCTGCGATGCCAAGATAAAAACCCCATATGACGCGGTCCAGTCTACCGAGAGTTATGCAGGGCCTATCTTTTCCAATGGAAAACACATTTATGTGTGGGGCAGCAAACCAGGCAGTAGGCTGGTGACTTGTTGGAAAGCATAGAAATAGTTTAGATTCCTGCCGAAGGTCTTATCATACGCTTTGCTGTTGCAGCGGAAATTGGCGCGTTAATTTAAAAAAGAAGATTTCAAAAAATAACAGGATTCGTATTAAGATCATTGGACGAAATTGTTGTTGACCTGACGGCCTACAGATGGATGCTAAGATAAAACCCCACATGACACCATCCAGTCTACTAATAGTTGAGTGGAGTCCTTCGCCCTATCGTCGTTTAGAGTTAGCTACATCGAAGTAGGCCGTTACTATCCTCGATAATAAGGTGCTAAGTCATTTGCAATCTAGTCGAGGACGTAAATGCATGTGGTGGGAAGACGGGCATTTCCTCACCTCAGCACCATCATCCGAAACCTTGTACGCAGAGTACATTGTAGTGCTTTCACAAGCTGCTATAATTTTTCCAGCCTTCTCCGTCTGTTTTCTAAGTCTGCATTTCAGCGTTTTCTGGAGAGTGTCTTGTGGGAGTGGCTGACTTGCTTTCACATTGAATTTTAGTTACCACGGTCACAGAAGACCTCGATGCGGTTGGTAAGTCGAATGATTTTCCGAAATTGCAGCGCTAAACAAATTATTTCTTTTCCTGCCCTTTACCAATGAGCGCGAGTGTGCATTCTACTCACAAATCGGATTTTTTTCGTAGAATCAACAGACTGGATCTACTACTTTGGGAAACACATGAGACCGGCCGTCTTCTTGTCCATACGCGACTATCAGAAGGTACTGCACTTCCTTTCCCCTTCAGTCCAGCACCTTCTTGCAAAGGGACCGCTTTAAATGATTTTGACAGCAGGGTTCGTGCAAGCGATCAATAGGCCAAAGTTACAAGCTTAATGCAGTTTTTATTACAAAGATGATGGACTTTGCAGTCAGCTTCAAGTGCAGACTGTTTGTAAAGTGCGAACCACACAGGGAAGGTTTTCCAACCTGACAGGCTCAGACGGTTGACTGGCGTATGCGAGAAGGAAGAACCAACGATACCGAGACTGGGGGCTCCGTCGCCATGGCAATTTAGCGCGTTCGCTGCTATCTGAAATCTGGCGCGTTGAAATCTGTTGTGATGTACCAGACGTCGTGGCTTGGAAATTTGCTAACTGACGGGATAACTCTGTCCTTTTCTTCTTAATGGGGGACTTATGGTCTCCCTGCCTACTTGACATCAAGGCCGTCTGGTACATTTGAGGTAAGGGCTAGATGACAGTTTGATCGTCGAATCCGACGATGTCCACCGTGTGCTCCACAGCAGGGTGAGAGCGGGCAAAGTGACTTTCGCATGAATTAGTTTACAGGAAGGGTAGACATTCGCAGCATCTACCACACTCTCTCCTCCTCCCCCGTCTGAGCCCGGTGTCAAGACAGAGTCCAGAAGGCTTGAGGCGGGGGAGGGCGCAGGTGGATGATGCAGCCGGATCCGCACCTAGGCGTGCCACCACACCCCCTGGTCCACAAAATACTCCTGACTAGGATTTTAACCAAATATAAAAAGGAGGAGAGCCGCAGGGGTCCCTTTGTGTACAAATGTCGCTTTTATTGTGTAAATTTTCGGAGCTGGTCACTTAGCCTCGGATTTTTGAAATCTGTTTTCACATAAGCTCCATAATACGTTTGAATTCGTCCAACGCAGACCCATCGTCAATTTTTTATTGTCCTGCAATTTCCTGTCTGTAATTGCCACTTTACGTTTATCGTTATTGCGCATGCATTTTGGAACTTGACTCGGAATTTTTGCCTTACACGCAGGTCAACCATCTGCCTTGTTCGTTTCAACTAGGAAGAAAGGATAGACTATGGCGGAACCTTTCGGCTATGCAACAAAAGTTTGGAATCAAACACTTCGGTTTCTTTCCACAGACATTTTGCATACCGTCCGAGATCGATAAACTGAAGGAAGCCTGGGACGAAGAACCCCCGCCACATCAGTGGATTCTAAAACCTGTAATTTTAATACGCCACATTTTTTGCTTCATCCTGACAGCGTTGTCTGTTCCCTGTCAACACGTGGCCCAATCTTACCATTGGACCACGGTTGGGCTAGGTGTGGCTCCGGCCCAACCTCCTTCCGGATTAATACAGAAAAAATTCCTTGTTTCAAATTATGCATATAACGGCTAAGATAAACTATATTAAGACCGAACTACATAAAATTAAGTGTATTAAGTAGCCCTCTTTGTCTAAACGCCCCGTCATTATGGCATGCCTTAACTTCGTCCTAGATCTACCCATACTGTGGTATGTAATCTATTGCCTTCCGGATGTGTGATATTACTGTATATGCTAATTACGGGAAGTGGGAAAGCGTTAAAAAGCGAGCTCCCCTGAGCATTTTTTGGGAGATTGAGCCATTTGGGCCGCATCCGCCCTTGTCACACCGTGGCTCAACCATGTAGCCCAAGCCAACCCAAATGGGCCGGACTTAGATTAAATGTTTCATTTTTGTAAATCACCATTTTAGAGCAAAACTATTATATTGTTGCCCTATTTAATTTTCCCTTAATTAGTCCCCATCAGCTCTCTCCTTAAAAAAAAACCCTTGTTTATCATCTGTGTTCCAGATTCCTTCCTTATTTTTGGGAGATTGGGCCACATCCGCCCTTGCGACACCGTGGCCCAACCATGTAGCCCAATTGGGCCGGACTGGGCTGGGTTGGGCCGATGCTGGCAGGGTTTTTTCCTGCGCTAAAGCAAACTGAATGTTGGAGTTACGTCTGCGCTGTGAAATTCAAGCTCATAAGTAGTTAGGGATAGACAAAAATGGGTGATGGCTCCCTAGTTAGTCGTCAGAACTGCGAGTAACAAGACTTTATTGTCTCACAGACACATTATGATGCCACTGCTGTGAATTACATCGATTGCGTCTGAATGCAGGATCAAATCATACTTGAAACTCAAGTCCTTCTACGCCAGGAGGGCAGGTATGACCGAAGTCCTCTTTTGGTCTCCCAGGCGTTTCTGGGGTAGTGTATCGCATTCTGTATCAAAATTGTCCTTGTAACTACACAGGACAGATTGGGCACATGCTCGGATCGCGCATACACGGACATAAGCTGGCTGTGCCCACACTTATGAAATGGGTCGCGAGTTTAACTTCGCAGCCACCAAAATAGTCGCCCACGCCGGAAACAAAACAGACCGAGAATTGATTGAAGCCTGGACCTCGAATGAGAACTCGGTCAATCGATTTATCGATCTGGCGCCGGCGAATAGAGTCCTGCGTAATCCCCTCCACTCTTGCGTCGTCGGTCGATGATTGGCCTACATGTCTTATGACTGTCGCTTGTTCTGTTGCTGCTACTACCTCTGACCATGGACTCCTGCACGAGTCCGAAAGCTCAGGACAATAAATGAAGTGTTCCGGTGCTAGACTCTTCTTTTCGTTTCCCCGTTTTTTTAATGTCATCAGGTATCGCTACTACACGTCTTCCTGATGCTATCCAAATTAACATGGCTTAAAGAATATGGGCATCTAGTTTAATGAGTGGAAACACTGATCAAAACTGCCTAGGCTTCTACAGGGTTTTCAATGGCAATCTAAATCAAAATCTTTCTAAGCTCTAGGAATCTTCAAGTCTGATTAAAGCATAGATGTCCATAAAACCCCTGTTCACCAAAAACCTTGAACTTTCGAACAGCCAGCATCAGCGAGGGGGATCGGCATTCGTCTCCTCAGCAAGTGGTCCTATGTTCCGAAGAAACGTCCCTACATTGTGCAAAAGTGAGTCTGACCGTCTTTGCCCTCCCACTTTTTCCTATTTTCGGAGTGCTCCTAAACGTCTCTTAATTGAACAAAATCTCTAGAAGGAAATTACTTTTATTTTAACGTCCTCCATCGCTGTTCATACGGACATCTGCTGTTGCCAAAGCTTTGACGCAACCAGACAAAATATGCCCGACTGAAAGGCATTTGTTCCTTCCTAATGTTAACTGTAAAAGTAGGGTGACCCCTTGTTAGTTGAACTAGCACCTCATTTTCCGCGACACACGCCAATCTATATCTGCCACTTTTACGCGGGTTTGTGTTGGCTGAACCACCTTCCAGTCTCGCCAGAATCCGCATTCATTGCGTCATTAATCAATGCTGCCAACGTAGATTGATGTTATCAAGGTAGAGTTCTAATTCGGAGCACTGATTGCAGTTGTTTCCAGCATCCTCTCGCATTCAGTTCTAACTGCATCCACCTGATTTGAGGAGGTGACGTCACTCAAAAAACTCGATTCGGGTCGACAAAACGCGACCTCGGCAGGCGGTGAAGTCTCATATTCGGTAAGTGCTCCGTGGAATGAAACCTATACCCTTTTCGTCGTGAAATGACTCCACGAGTTTGCGAAAGTTTTACTACACTTGATACCCATGCTCTTAGTGGTAGACTGAAGATGACTTTCGAATTTTCGAACGTAGGAAACGGCCTCTTTCACGCACTACTACGTGACATCATCATTAAATACATTAAAAAACTGCCAAATATGCATATCGTAGAAGTGTCGTTTACAGAGCACTTTATTGAACATGCGAAGACAGCATTACCGAAAAAGACAAGAGAGACTGAAATGGTCAGTTCTCAGGTTAGCAAAAGTAAGAGATCCGGTTTGATAATCTGAGGAAAATGAAGTGCTCACCGGACCGAGGGACTTGCATGGCTGACGTTTCGAAGAGCTGGGGCGACTCTTCATTATCAAAGCGTCCAGTGAAAAAATCGATCAGAATTTTGAATTGACAGCCGGATTAGTTGGCCTTGGGCTGATCGATTTTTTTCTCTTCTTTCGCTGCCTTGGCCTACCAACCGTCACCTGCGAATACTGGTGGCCTCATGTATCGTGTGTCGTCACCACATTTGGGGTTAGTTGCGTTTGCGTTCCCCTTTTGTGTGACTTGGTCGACAGGCTGTGTTTGCTCGGTAGTCTTAGGCTCCGTATGGCCGTCTTGTCTTCGTTACGGCGTATGTAATCACGTAAGACTTTACAGGCCGAAGGAAGGTCCAAATGCCTGTTAATAGAGTTGGCATCTGAGTACCAAGCCTCAAGCGTGAGACGCTCTGTCCTTGAGGTGCTCCTGCCTAATATAGCTGCTCCTTGAAAATCAAAACTGTGACCAGTTTCCCCGATGAGAGCCGCAAGCTGTAAGTTTGGGTCTAGTCTCCGAGTTACCAGTTTGTTTTCATGTAGGCAGGTCTGCAATTTCCGTTACAACGTATTTGATAGACAACCGCTAAGGTTTCAGTGGGTGGTAGTATGTTTTTGGCTTGCATCAAACGGCGACGAATTGTTGCCTGGGGTCGATGGGCAATGCCTACCCCGGCGGGTTGTAACAGTCATGAAACCGCCTCGAAGACTCCTTTAATATAAGGAATACCCAAACTCACAGCTTGCGGCTCTCATCGGGGAAACTGGTCACAGTTTTGATTTTCAAGGAGCAGCTATATTAGGCAGGAGCACCTCAAGGACAGAGCGTCTCACACTTGAGGCTTGGTACTCAGATGCCAACTCTATTAACAGGCATTTGGACCTTCCTTCGGCCTGTAAAGTCTTACGTGATTACATACGCCGTAACGAAGACAAGACGGCCATACGGAGCCTAAGACTACCGAGCAAACACAGCCTGTCGACCAAGTCACACAAAAGGGGAACGCAAACGCAACTAACCCCAAATGTGGTGACGACACACGATACATGAGGCCACCAGTATTCGCAGGTGACGGTTGGTAGGCCAAGGCAGCGAAAGAAGAGAAAAAAATCGATCAGCCCAAGGCCAACTAATCCGGCTGTCAATTCAAAATTCTGAT